GTGTGTGTGTGTGTGTGTGTGTGTGTGTGTTGTGTGTGTGTGTGTGTGTGTGTGTGTGTGTGTGTGTGTGTGTGTGTGTGTGTGTGTGTGTGTGTGTGTGTGTGTGTGTGTGTGTGTGTGTGTGTGTCATACTTGCCAACCCTCCCGATTTTCGCGGGAGACTCCCGCATTTCTCCCGGTTTCTGACAAAATCAGATTTACTCCACTTTATTTTAATACAGCTACACCATTGTTTGGTTTCAATGGTAGCGCGTCTCTTTAGCAGCGCGCGCAACTCAAGGTCTGAGAGGGTGAGGAAGATGAAAATTGAACAAGAATCGACAACTCGACCCTCTGATCACTCCTTTCCTGTAAAATACAGGTCCAGCCCACACATATGCTCCATGGTGCCACAGGCATTGCCCTTACAACTACAATAAGCATGTAAATGTTAATCTACAGCTCCGGCGATCCACTAGCACCGGAGTCTACACCTGCAGACAACTACTGTAGCTACTGTAGCGTCACCTTGGATACGAGTCCAAAAAACTCACAGACACACAGGCCAGGGCGCTGAAAGGGCGCCCTTTGAGCATCAGATCTGACGACGCTGATTGGCTGAAATTATGTTTCGGCGGCATAGTTTACAGATAGCAACAGTCAGCTTGTTGGCTGCTGCTGCTCTGGCTGAGGGCTCCTTTCTACAGCCCGGACGAGAGAGGGTAATGATACATGCTGCGGCCAGGCAAACCAGGGGACTTTAATTCCTCTTGACACTGTCGCTTATTTACAAAAAAAACACCCAAATATACATGTTATTGTGCTTCTGTCTTTCTGTGTCTTTTCATCTGTAAACTCCCTCGACGGGGCCGCTCTCTCTCTTCTCTTGATCGCCCTCTCACGGAGAACACTTCACTGTCCCGCTTCATTGTAGGATTTCTGCCATGTCTCTACTTTAGTTTGACCATCTCTGTTATTAAGTTATGGAATACTAAATAAATAATTAATTAGATGCCTTACCGTTGCTGCGCTCATAAAGAATGATAAGAATAAGAATAATTAATTATTTCATTAATTAGTGAGTTTATTTAAGGTAATATGTTAGAAGCCGTATTTTATCAGCATGTCTGCACAGCAGTTACAATGGTCAAACTACATTAAAACAGAATTGTCCCCATTTTGTCTTTAATAGTTACTAACATTAGATATTTTTAATGAGATATGGACCGCAAAACCAAAAATGTGCCTGGATAAAGAATGTAGCTGTTGGACATAAACGTAAACTGAGTGTTGTGTTTTTATTTTATTAACCTTTTACATTAAAAACAAGTTCGAATTTTCAAAAGGTCTTATTTTTTTTTCAGTTTAGAGCAATAGCCCCTCCAAATGTGTGCACGTCCCTGGGCCTATGTATTGGGAAAGTTTAACTATTTGAACACTGTAGCAATTGTCACTGAAGTAATATCTCAAAGCCTCTATTACAGTCATGTAATTAAAAAAACCTGCAACCTAACTTTCCGCACAGCACGGCAGATAAATATACGATTTAAAAAAAAATTGCTTGTTTTACAATAGTTTTCCTATGCAAAGAAATTAAAAACATATAAAGCCTAAAAAAAAGGACTACAATCAACCACCTTAATTTTACTGCATATTAAGGAATGGTTTAATTTTTTGAAAATGCTTATTGAATAATTAGGTGATCATATTTATTTGTATCAAAGATTACTCTAACAGGAGGAAATGGTGCATTTGTTGGGTACTATTTTTATAGGGTTAGTGTTATTGACTCATATCCAAATTGGCACACCATAGCAGTTATTAGCGACAAACTTCAATTCTGGTTAGGGAAGGCGTGCCCAGCTCCTTTTTAAATGAGCGGTCTGAACTCCTTCAGACCTCTCACGCCTCTCTCTCGCGCTCTGTCCCCAGCAGACTGCCAGAGCTCCAGCACTGTGCTTCACAAACTCAGAGACCTGAGTCATGTTCTTCCAGTTTATCTGTGCTGTGGTGACCAGGTCTCTGTTTCTCCTGCTCTCCCTCATAGGGGTGTGGAGGGTGGTGTGGGTGAAGGACCATGGCCTCTACTGGCTCCTCACCGGCCTCTGCCTGCCTCTGGTGGTGGAGATGATCCTGACTCTGAAGAGGAGACGGGGAAAAGATTACAAATGGTATTCAGTTTATTATTCTGGTTAAATGTATGATATTAAGTTAGAATGCAGTTTATTGTTGTATTGAGAATACGTTAAGATTATACCAATCTTTGTATAATGATGTGTCTTTCCCTGCAGGTTTTCTCCTGCTATCTTCCTCTTTCTCGTCAGTATCATCCCGTCATTATGGATTTTAGAGCTCCACCACCAAGAGAACAAGTCCACTGACTCCAGGGTATAATCTATGTATTATTTGATATCATATTCTCTTCCATTCTAAGAGTTTAATTACATATTGTTTTGCTTATTAAAGATGTTCATTCTGTTTTTCTCATTTTAGTGTGAAAAACTGGACTCTACCGAAAATATTAAGAGTATTTTTAAACTTCAGGTAAGTGTCAAAGCGTTATGAAGGTTTAATTAATTTCAAATAAAAATGAGAATATATTACAAATATTTAAACAATTTCATTTGGACGTATTATACTGTAACTTAAACTGCATAGTATGTGTCACAGCAGTAGCCTGTTTTCTGGCAGTGGAGGGTAAGGGCCCCTGGAGATAAATACAGTTCCACATTGCAGTTTGAATGTATATTAACACTTCAGTTACGGTAGGATAACACTACCTTACATTATTTTCTGCACTTTTGCCGTTGCTTTCCATTTGGTCACTCAGTTGGTCTAGACAGTGGAGCTCTCTCCCTGCCGGTGTTTGGTTATGCTGATTCATCTCAAAGAGGCTGTTGTGAGGCTGCGGGTATTTTTCCTCTTTCAACACCAGCACATTCATAGAAGTGGTGACCACTTTAAAGACCCGGCACACCCTTAATTAAAACAATAACAAGCCCAACATAAAAGCTCTGGTAAAATGTTCTGTGTTGACCATGTTTTATTCCCTATTTTCACTTAAACCCACATTACTTCTCCTTTAACTTAAACCTTTTCCAAAGTGTTAAAGTAGAAAGAAAAAAAGCATAGCTTGCAAATCTCCCAGAGGCATGAGTCGGGGAATATGACTCTAAAAGAAGTTGCGAAAACTTCCCAAAATGTGCCATATTTTCCTTAAAGAGTACTAAATAATGAATAATTTCCCAGTTTGGGACATTATGTATATATCCCTCTATCCATCTATCTATCCATCTATCTATCCATCCATCCATCCATCAATCCATCAAATAACTAGTTACATGTGATACAATGTAAATAAAAAAGAATTAAAGTAACCTCAATATAAACCATAAAGAAATTCATTAACTTCATCGATCTTTGCTTAAACATTTTTGAAACACTGTAATCGTGCTAGTAATCTATATTTTCTTTTAAATGGAAAGGTAATCTGATTCGTTATTTATTTATGTAATTGTAATCGAATACAGTTACCTTTTTTTTGTATGCCGATTACATAATCTCGTTACATGTAATCCATTACTCCCCAAGCCTGCTGACAACATGAAATAAGCTGTTTCCAGAAGACCTGTTTTTACGGTTATAACGTCATTAAAGTTGGCTATCTGTGAGTCATATTGAAAATGAGGACAAATGTAATTGCTGTCACAGTATACACACGAAACATGAAACAGGGTGGTGCTAGGGTATGTGGGTTTTGCCACTTTCAGAACTTTAGCGAGGGAGGGTATAGGAAAAAATTCAGCAAATAGTTTATTGAAAAGTTTAACGCAAAACAAGTTGCTGCACAATGAAATGAAACATTATTGTTTAGACCAGGGGTGCCCAACCTTTTTTGAACCGAGAGCTACTTTTAAAGTTGCCAGTCTGCAGAGATCTACCAGTCCAAATAGAGAGGCGTAGCCATTACTGACAGCCTACTACTGTAACGACAGAATGAACACAAGTGGAGGACTCAATAGCACGACTCAGAGACAGAGGCTTAGGATGCAAAAAAAGGTCTTTATAGCCAAGGTTCGGTACACAGGAGATCAGTCAATAAGGCTAACAAAACAGACGAGGAGTAGACAGGGACCGGGTCAGGACACGAAGCTGGGTCAGGTACACGTGGAATCAGATACTAGGAAAAATACTGCTGGAACACTAGAAATAACTAAGACGAACTGGCACTGAAGGGAATGTGGATGCACACTAAGTAGGCAGAGGGAGAGATGATAATGGGGCACAGGTGAGGCTAATTAGGGATGGG